GGGGAAGGCCTGGAGTTGATTTGAGGGGGTGGAAGTAAATGGGGGCCTCAAGTGTGGGGCTGGAGGGGAGGGGGAGCGATCTGTGGGGCTCCTGGGGGCATCAAGTGAGACAGGGAGCAGGCAAATCTTGGGGGAATGGAGAAGTGGGGGAGCTGCTAAGGGGCCAAGGAAAATAAAGGAGTGGGGCAGGAAGGGGCGCTGGGTGGGCTCTGGGTTGGAGGGGGAAGATGGAGGGGGCAGGGAAGGGCTTTCTGGCCTGGAAGTGCCAGGCTGGGGGGAGTCTTGCCCCTCTCTAGACGTAAAGGGGGTGCCTCTCCAGTGTATGGGGCGGGCTTTCAGTCAGGTCAGTAAAGCAAATTGGAATTGGAGCCTGAGTGGCATTTGCGGTTGTGTTAGGCCTGTTTTCAGGCCGGGGCTTTAAACAACGAAATCTGGAGGGGGGAAATGAGTCTCCAGGAGCGGCCGGGGGCCCAAATAACCATTTTCTGCCCCTCTTCCAACCCTTAAAAGGGATCTATGGAGTGGGAATGGAGGTGGAGGAAGGAAGAGCCTTAAGGGGTCGCGTAGCAGCAATTTTTTTCAGAAATTCTGGCCAAAGGAGGAGGGCTTTGGGAGCCAAAAGTGGGATATGTGGGGAAAGAGAGGAGAGTCCTAGAGGATCGGAGGAGTAAAAAGATGCTGGCCCACCTGAGACCGATGCTTGTGTCCCTGGCACTAGCTTGCATTCCTGTAGTGTATCTTTTAGCAGAAGCTTGGGGGCTGCTTAGGAGAACGAGGAAAAGGTACATACATAAAATGTGCAACATATGCAAAGCCTGGGACAAAAAAAGACTGACCAGCGGACTTCTGGGGGTGGATGAATGGCTGTTCCACACAAGCATGGAGGGGCAAGGTCCCAATTAAACTGCTGTGCTGAACTGTAATGTGCTTGGTTTGATTTTGATGTAGTGTGTGGTGTGAGTGTGATCATTGTGGTTGGCAAAACACACATTAGTTTAATGTGTGAATCCAATGTATCTCCTGGCTGCTATCCACCTCAGCAGAAAGGCAACACCTGTCTGGCCTGGGAAGGTAACTATGATTTAACTTGGGTGGGAGATCTGCAGGAAATTCCAGGGCTAGAACAGGGGAGGCCTGATAAGCATTTTGGAAGAAGGCAGCGGCAAACCACTTCTGAATTGCCACCAAGAAAACTGCACAGACGCAGCCATGAAATTGCAACGTTGAATCTGAATTAAGGGCATTTTTGCTCACTTCAAATTACCGGGGTATGTGGGGCATAAACAAAGGGGCATCGGTTTCCAGAAGCCTGGGGCCAAACAGGAAGAGCAGAAGTGCCACACGTGACTCTAACTCTAAACTCCATTTTAAAAGGCTATAAATGTTTGTTGGTGTAAGAAACCAACCATCGGTCCCTATGGAAGCTGCCACCATCTGCTTTCTCGCTTGAATTAGATTTGTGTAGAATAGCCGTCCATCCTTGATTCCATGCTTATGGCTGGCTGGGGAATTCTGGGAGTGGAAGTCCACACCTCGTAAAGTTGCCAAGTTTGAAAAACGCCGATTTAGACGATAGCAGAGCATCCCGTCCCCTTGATACCTCATGTTTCAATTGCTCTTGATGAATTTTGAGTGCAGTTAAAGGATGTTTAACTAGATGAGGCAATAAGCGTGAGGGAAAAGACTGGTTGAAGGAGCATTTTTGTTGCAGTTACAAGTTGCAAAACTTTTAGCTCTCAAGGAAACTAGCCCACAAGTTGGTGAAAGAAGCAAAATAGCGGAGGAGGATAGCTATATTTATTTTTTACTACTTGGGGAGAAGTTCTAAAGAGGCCCCCCTTTCCACCCCTCGTCATTTTGAGCGGGTTTAATTCATTTGTCTTGTTTTTGCAAACACGGCTTGCCGCAAAGCTACCGCGTTAGCCAAACGCAGTGAATTTTGAACTGTAAATTAGGACGAGAGCAGCCAGTTTGGGGGAGCGGTGACGGCCCCGGGCTAGAAGCCGGGAGGCTGTGAGTTCTCATCCCGCCTTAGCCACGAAGCCAGCTGGGTGACCTCGGGCCAGCCCCTTCCGAAAACCTTGCCAAGGAAAAGCAGGGACTAGTCCGGGCAGCGGCCCAGCGTCAAGACTGACTCGAAGACACCCCCCCCAAAAAAAAATTAGGAAAGCGCGTGGCCAGGAAGTTGGGGA